GTAGGTTCAGTGCATGTCAATATAATTGTGTCTCAAGGGTGAGAGGTTCAACCCCCAAATGACACCAAATCTAGACACTGCTACATACAGGGTACTGGTTTACAGGCACAAAAGACGCAACAGTGAGGGCAATATGAAATCATGGAACATATGCCATGTTTCTGTAAGGTCACTGAAACCAAGCCTGAACCAGGACTTGTAAGCTGTGCAAATTCCTGAGGTCACTGTGTAAAGCAATGATGGTGAGGTCCAAGCTGAAATGGAGAAATCAGGATGCCGAAGATGCCAAGACCACAGAGAGGCTGCCAAGAAAGGCTGGGTACACCAAGTGGAGCTGGCCCAAGGGAGAGGTCATGTGTGGGGCAGGTGGCAGAGCGGGAGGTTTGAAGCTAATCAAGGCCTCCCAGGTGATTCCACCTCAACCTCTGTTGCCTGACATGGAGCTGCAGGCTTTGGAATCTGACCCACCTGGTTTCAGTCCCCCCCCCTGCCCCCTTTCCTTGTTCTGTCCCCATCCCTCTCTATTAGAGGGAATACCTATCCTGTGACAGTGCATATAAGAACAATACTACAGTTTTTGTTTTTAATTTGATGGAAGCTCAAAGTCAAGCAATTGTTCTGATTCCCAGAAGAGGCTTAGACTTCAGACTCTTGAACAGAGCTAGTATTGCTAAAGACTATAGGGCCCTTTGATGTGGGGCTGAATTTATTTTCCATCACGACATGACTAAAACCTGAAGGGGACAAGGGGTAAAGGTTAATGACTTAAAAGTTATCTATTAGGGGACTGGGATGATGGCTCAATGGGTACAGTGCTTGCCATGAAAACACAAAAACCTGAATTTAGATAGGCAGACTTCACGGGAAGCCCTATCAAGTAGTGTGTGTCTGTAATCACAGTGTCCTGCAGAAACAGGCAGTAGAGAGAGGAGAATCCCTAGTGACTCTATGTAAAAAAAAAACACTTGGATACACTGGGCGGTGGCAGCGCACACCTTTAATCCCAGCACTCAGGAGGCAGAGGCAGGCTGATCTCTGTGAGTTCCAGGCCAGCCTGCTCTACAAAGCTACAGAGATAAACCCTGTCCCGAAAAACAAGAGCAAACAAAAAAAAAAAATAGTGGATGATGGGAACTGATATCATAGGCTGTCCTCTGAGCAGAAACACCCAGTGGCATGTACATGTTCCCGTCACATACATGCTATGGATGCAACATAACCAGCTGTCTCTAAATTCTGCTTCCTTCGTCTCTATCATGTTGAATGGTACCAAAGCATGCATTAAAATCAAGCTCTTTCTTCCTTATATTTTTTATTAAATACTTTTACTTATTTTAAATCCAAACCAAAGTTTCCCCTGTCTCCTATCCTTCCACCCCCTCCCCCAACACACATCCATTTCTCCTCTTTCTGTTCAGAAAGGGGCAGGAACTCCATGGTTGTCCACAAAGCATGGCATACCAAGTTGAGGTAAGACTATGCTACTCTCTTGGGCCAGGCTGCTGTAGAATTAGTCTGTACTGATAGCCAGGAGCCTGCATGGGACCAACCTAAGCCCTCTACATATGTGTGATAGCTGTGTAGTTTGGTCTACTTGTGAGACTCCTAACAGTGTGAGTGTGGGCTGTCCCTAACACTTTGGCTGGTGTCTAGAAACTTATTCTTATATTTCTTTTATTTTGTTTTCATTTGGCTTTTCTTTTATTTGTCTTCATTTTTATTTGGCAAGAGAGGAGAGGTCAGGAATTTTGTGGCAACAACAAAAAGATCAACTAATGTGGTACTTTAGTGGCTTTATTGAGTCCCATGTTGGGGGACTTTACAAACTAAGAAGGCTCTTGCAGATCTAAATGATTTAGGCTGGCATGGAAAACAGGTTCCTAAAGTGCTGAAGCAACTGGAAAAGAGAGGAATGATCAAAAGGCAAAAACAAACAAGAGTTCAGCTGAGGTCAGTGGAAAAATAAAATAAAATGTGGCAAGCTGTGTCCAACCAGAGTCCAAGGGAAGACAACAACAGAAGGCTAGTGAGCATCTGGAAGGCTTTACATCTTCAGAAATGATTCGTGGGAGACCTAAGTGATAAAACTGTGTAAGTAAAAAAGATTTCAGAAGGTTAAGCTTGTCCTAGGTGTGGGTGATTACACTATGTGGTACACAGTTCTCTCTTGCAAAGACAGTACACTGGGCGTAGAGATTTTCCACTCTTCCCAGGGACCTTTTAATAAACAAGTGGAGCTTATTGAAAGACAAGAGCTATAGAGCTTCTCCAGAGTTTATTGATAAGAACTTGGAAGCCTGTTCTACTCCCAGTCACACCAGAATATGGCCCTGCTCTCTCTTTGATATGAACAGACCCAAAGGTGCAAGCTGACCCCAAGATCATCTGGGTTCTGGATACACTCATTGGAAGCAGTGTAGCAGTAACCCAAGAATGCCAAGAATAGATTATGGATGTCTGAATAAGCTGGTGCAACCCATCAATGACAAGCATCACTCTTTTGATTAAACAAATGATGAAAACGATGGAACTATCTCCATTGAACAGTGTTAATACTTATTTGTTTTTTCCTGTGTGTGTGTATGTCCCCTTAGCCATCTAAGACCAGTGAAGAATGGCATAAAACAGCATTGGGCCCTCAGAAATCTTGCCTAACATGTGTAAAATTGGTGTTACAATATTATTCTAATTCTTGAGAATTGAGAAAACGTCTGTAATAAGAATATAAGTAGCTGTCAAGAAGTTTGAAAGCAGGTGTCCTGTGTAGGTGATGAAAGTATACCTAAAAAATCTACAGGTATGTTTTGGGTTTTGTTTTAAAGGCAAGTGCTAGGGAAGGGTTATGTCCCTATGAGTTTTTATACAAGGAAACCCAACTAACTATAAAGACTTTGGTGTGATTTTATGTTAGAATTAGAAAGTAGGTCCCTAGTGATGAACAAATTACGTGTTTTAGTTATAGGACTTGGAGAATTCAAGATGAGAGTCCGTGAAAGTTCCTTCCCCATGGGGGGCAGCTTTTGTAGTATTATGCAGGCCACTAGAGGTGAACTGTCATCTATTGCTGTGCTTAGTGTGGCACGGTGCATATCAGACTACCAACATGCAGGCCAGTATGTGTCCATTGGCATGAGTGAGTGAATGGGGTAAGTGGACTGTTGTCATGGCGTAGTGGCCCAATGCTCAAGCATAAATGAAGTGAAATAACCAGACTAGCACAGACCAGTATATCAGACCCGTCAAGGCTCGGGGAACATGATGGAGGAGTGTGGGGGGAAAAATGCAAGAGCTTAGATAGGGGGCAAAGTGCTGTGTAGCTATTCCCTCCAAATGGAGGGAATACCCTTTTGTAGATAGAAAGAGGCTCATAAAATGCAGGAACCTAATGAAGCCTACAGAGCATGGAACTGTTGGAATGTTATATGATTTGCAAGGCCCTTCCTTGGGGTGATAGAAAGGCCACCATCAATCGCTAGAGAAGTGAGAAGTCTCCGGTGGAGTTCCTATGAAGTGAGTGAGCTACGGGGGCATTTTGGTGATGCAGGTAGCTTTGAGTCATCATGCTCCTTGAAGTGGTCTCTTATCTCCGTTCCTGTATGTAATATCAGTAAAATCCCTAGATTGACTGCAAGAGTTTCTTTTATCTGTCACAGTGCATTTGGGGCAAATAGATATTTATTCACCTCTATCCAGGGGGGAAAAAAATCACACAACAGCACACCACATGTCACATTTTGCAAGTCGCCCACTCTCTGATTTGAAAGCCAGACCTCCATCCACACTGATTACTCACAAGGGCCTATATCCAGCTCCCAAGGTCGCTCTTGCAGTCAGGCTCATGTCCCATTACTGACTGTAGTAGTATTACTATCCCACAATACGTTCAACCCTTGTACTCTTTACCAGATCGAGACTATTTCCCTGTGTATCTATCCTCAAATTCATGGCTTCTTCTCTGTTGCATTCCCAAATCTGAGGCAAGTCGGATTCATGCAAATTAATTGTGCTGTCCTAAGAAGTATGCTAAGCCATATAGCCTGAAAACCAATCTCCTTGTCTTTGTTGTGTATGTCCTCCACAAACTGGTTGCTGTGTGTACTGCATCACTCATGTCCACCCTCCTAGATTAGGACTATGAAGTACTCACATTTTGTCTGTTTTCCATAGAATGAACGCTCAATGCAGTATATTCAAATGAGCAAAATTCTAAAGGATCAAAGCTTCCTCTAACATACGGAAATAAATTGTCTCCAGGATAGCCCTTTAGGTTATTTTGAGTTCAGGCCTGAGAGGAAGCAGGAAGGGAAGTCCACAACCCAGAGAAAATGTGAGGCAGCTACAGACCATGCTTTTCAGACTGAGTGCTCTGTGTATTTATGTGTGTGTGTGTGTGTGTGTGTGTGCGCGCGCGCATGTGTGTGTGTGCGCGCGTGTGTGTATTACAAAATATCACTAATCCAATCAATATTCGATTAACTGCATAGTGAACTTATCAGCTCACCAAAGCAATTATTTCTTACTGACAGTTAAGAAATTTGAACACGGAGGGTCAAAGTGTTTCCCCTTTAATAATATTATCCCGGTACTTGAGCTAGCTTGTAGGAGCCCATTCTCCATGGTGGGATGCCGCGCTCAGTATGAATGCATGGGAAAGGGGCCTGGGCCTGCTCCAACCTATTGTGCCAGACTATGTAGACTCCTCGTGGGAGCCCTTACCCATGAGGAGGAGTGGACCAGGAGTGGGCTAGAGGGCAGGCGACAGGGGTGGGAGGAGGGATAGGACAGAGAACTGTCGTTGGCATGTAAAATGAAATTAAAAAAAAAAATGAAAAGAAAGACTGAAAGAAAAAAATAAGAACATTTGTAGAGAATGCATTTAAGAAACGAAGGAATGTGTCTAAATCATCAAGCTACAATAGGCAAACATTTTCGTGCTACAGTCGCACAGATTCGCTGCAATGGAAACCTGCCACTGCGGATAGCCCAAAGGCAGCACATACCTTAGGCAGCCCCGTAGTTCCAGATGTGTAGAGAATGTACAACGGGTGCTCTGAGACAACCGGCACGCAGTCATGTGACTGAGCTTTGGCCATTTCTTCTTCCCAATCAAGATCACGGCCTGACATCAAAGGAACTTTCTCCTACACAGAAAAAAAAAAAAAAAAAAAAAAAAGTCAAAGCATGCACAGTAAATATAGGAGATTAAGTTACAGGAGAGCCAAGGAGCCACTAAATCTGTCAGTGTGAGCATCTGTTAGGAATCTGTGCCTTCATGACACTATCCTTGGACATATACCCAAAACATACTATATTTTTACACATCCAGTGGTTTGATGTTACTTTCTCCCTCATGGATAAAACCACATTTCTACTGCACTCTAAGGCTACCTTAAACAATTCAATGCCATGCTGTTGTGTTTTTTTTGGGGGGGGGGAGGCCTCAAGCTTAATTAACTGAGAGATATATATTTGCAAAAAAAAAAAAAAAAAGAATATGCACAAGTTACTTTAAAAACTAAGTTCCAGCTTGACTTTTTAATTCAGAAGTTCTGTCCTCACCAGGAAATATCAACTAATGCATTAAAATGCTTTTCTATGGGGGCATTTGGGAGCCACACTGCAGCTACATTTTTAATGGAGCAACTCAAGTCACCTTTGGAGACAAGAAAAAAGATCAATGTGCATTTGTTCAAGACTGAAACTAATTTTCCAAATTAAAGAGAGTACGCGACACACCCAAAATGTTTTCTTACTTCTCAGTTATTTACATGATAGAAAATAAAATGTCTTGTTTTTCTTCCCTCAAGAACTTCCCTCAAGGCTTCGTTTTTACAACTTTTGTGATAACCGCCATGTCATAAAAAGGAGACAACATTAAGTAAATTAAACAGCCATTAAGTGGGAAGGAAAATAAAGAATGGGGAGTGGACTTGGGCGATAGTCACTCTAGTGACAAACTACAGCCATCATGCTGTTTCTTGAAACACTAAATTCAAGTTTCTTTATCCAGAAGGGTGTATTGTTTTGATACTCGGTATCACTGGCTGACTTGGAACTCCTTATATAGATTGAGCTGGCTTCCAGTACTTAGAGATTTTTGCCTGCTGCCACCTCCATAGCTCTGAGATTAAAGTCATGCACTACGACACCTGGCATATTGAGAAGTTGATAGTGATGAAGTCCATAAACACAGAGAGAACCCAATTACATGAGGTTTAGTAGAGTAAATGAACAACACAAGACATGTATGTAACTTTTGACTCCATCAAGAGAACATCTGGGCTAAGCTCATAGGCTCTGGGCACTCCCACAAGAACGTAACTTCTACTTACCAGGACCCCTACTATTAGCCAGGGCTATAAAACACTTTTCATAAATTTAAATAAGCACCTTTACAAATTATGCATCAAGGCAATATCATAAGTACAATACGTCTGAGTGAATTCATTTGTACCTAAACATCTGAACTGAACACCGTTTGTAAAGTTTATATTTCAAGCCCAGCTGATGTCTTTTGCCTCCCTTGGATAGGTAGCAGCTGAGACCATTTAAATAAACAGAGCAGAGAACTTCAAGCAAATTGTGCTCCGGTTCCATGAGATAAACATGACCAATTTCAAATTGTCAAAGCTTTACCGTCATAATTGTACACCTGTAAAAATCATCATACTGCAAAATGAAAACTGGATTGTGATTACAAACATCTTTTATTTTTACAAGCCTCTAATGAAATGGGCAGTAGAAAAAAAAAAGGTTATTCTTTACGCTAAAATAATATGTGTGTGTAAAAGATTCTGAGGAAATGAAGAGAGAAGTAGCAACATTCGCATTTGTTGTATAAAGTTGTGTGTGTGTGTGTGTGTGTGTGTGTAGGCGAGTACTTCCTAGGTATTAGAATTAACAGACAACACTGAGAGAATGCCATGGAAACAAGGAATATTTGCTTCCTCGGCTTTCTTCGTAGTTTGCCTGAGGCTCAGGAGTAGCAGCCAAACTTTTACCACATTGGACAGAAGTACAGCTGGTTAATAAGACACAATTCCCAGCCTCGCCATTTGTTTCTCTCTAGATTCAAAGCAAACCCAACCCCCTGGGTTTAATTACCGCCTAAGCAGTAGGTCTTCAATAAAGACAAGATGTATCAAAAGCCTTCATCCGTATCACTGGAGAGGCAAGTCCGAGAAAGGTCAAAGGGGCAAGAGAGAGCCAGTTAGGTGGGATAAAGAGCTAAAACAATTCTATTGAGAGAAGAGAATCCCATTAAAATGTGGATAAAGAGGCTGAATATGGAAACATTGTGTGCTTAGGGAGCAGAAGAAATAGCTCATCTATTGTTTCAAAGTTATCAAACCTCAATTCGAACCTTACTATATCTATTAGCTAGAATTTGGGTGTTCACTGGTCCATAACTCAGTTTCTTTATCAGAAACATGGAGCCAGGGATAAGATCCAACTCTGATCTGTAAGAACTAAATAGGCAAAGACACTGGGAACCACTTCACATTGTTCACAGTCTAACACAAGGCCTTCGCCACTCCTAAGTGAACTCATATCTATGTGTACACAGTAGACACTCCAATAAAAGCTTTATGGAGCATTTCTGCCATTAGGCTTCTCTTTCCTCGCCTACAGTCTGCTCAGGGGCTGACTTCATGTTTCTCGATTTAAATGGCAAGAATGCCTCTTAAAAAAAAAAAAAAAAGTGCATGAAAGAAACTTGGCCTTCATCTCCGAGACAGTGAGAGCATTAAATTCACCAAATGTAGCAGTTCATGAACCACAACCCTCAAGCTCCACAAGGGAATTTATTGTGGCAATGATTCTTGTTATGTGCTCATCAAAATGACACAGTCTTAAGACTCTGGTCCCCAAACCTGTCAATTAAGTACTTTCAGATGAGATCCTCTTGAGAGGTCTACAAAAATGACACATGAGCATCTGCAATTTTGTAATTTATCTTCTGCAAGAAAAAAAAAAGAATAATGAGCTGCTAAAAATAATCAACTTGGTCCTTTAATATGTAGTTGGAGAACTTATTGAGTATTGAAGCAGGTCCAAGTTACAAGGCAAAGTATTTAATATTTTCATTGCTACAATCTTTTCTCCTCTGTGGATCATAGAACAAAATTGTCTGTGGAGAATATTCAAGTTTTATTTTTCTGAACACAGTTTATCTCTGGATGAGAAAAAAAAGCCTTAATTTTATGAATATACTCTGCAGATGAAGAATCAGATCTTTCCAACAGGTCACAAAAGCAGAGGAGTGAAGAACACATTCAGGTATAAGCGCTAGAGGCCAAATCAGGACTGTCACTAATCAGACAAGGTACGCCATCTTAACACACAGTGACTCCTCTTTCTTTAACAGTGGCCGGAAAATTTTATTAGTCCTGCTTGAATCTTGACAATGAAATCCATAATACCTTCAAAACCAAATAGTAAGCAGGTAGTTAGTATTCGCTCGTATGTAAAACTTATAAAGTCATAAATGACAGCCAAGGAGAACCATACACAAACCCAAAGTATTACTATCACATGCATTTGTGTTTCCTATTTTTGTTATTCTCACCTAGTTTTCCATAGACACTATCATCCCATTTTTTTCTTTCACTCCCATGATTGCAGTCACATTCAGGATATTTAGCAGTTTATGAGTCAATTGTAAATGTTCAGATGATCAGAACTAAAGTCATGCTTGCCACAACGCCATCAGCAAGGAGGAAGTCAAAGTTTCACATTACCATATTTGGACGATTGTAAATGAGAACCCTGTCTGGTCCATGTTGTCCTATTCTCAGTGCTTCTTCCAAAAGAGGGACATATTCTACCTTTCTCCCAGGTTCAATGCCAAATGATGCTGTAACAACCACCTTGGGCTAAAATGAGAAGAAGAAAAAAGAAAAGGCTTTACTAATCCTAGGGAAACTAATAAAAATATTGCAGGGTAGACTGTCAGTGTAACATTTAGAAAGAAATTTTAAAATGGTTTATGTCCACTACTAAACAATGGCCTCAAATCCAGCAAGACACCATTTAACCACTAATGCATAAAATCTCACTTACCTGTTCAAAGTCATACACCTAATGATACCTAGGGATCATAAGCCTGAATTGTATAAAATGTCTTCCAAAGAGTTCATTAAACCAAGTAAATTTCCCATGATCCAGAAAAATGCTGACTTATATTACATTCATACAGACACAAATGCACCCACATGCATGCACACACATGCCCATACACACACACACACACACACACACACACACAAAGATTTCTGTGTTTATGGGAGTATTGTATCTCTCTCTTTTTTTATTTTACATGTCGATCCCAGTTTTCTCTCCCTCCCTCTCTCCCTCCCTCCCTCTTACCTTCTCTCTCTCCCCTCACATGCACCCTGACCACCCTCACCTGCCATGCACCCATCCAAATTCCACATGTATGGCTATACCATCCAGGTAGGGTCACGTAAATCTGTCAAGTCATTTGAAGTAGGGCTAGGACTTCTCTCCTGTCTAGGTTAAGGGAGTGTCCCTCCATGGGGGATGTGTCCACAAGGTCCTTTTATGCACCAGGAATACATCCTGGCTCCACTGTCTGAGGTCCCTTAGACTGCTCAGTCCTTCTGGCTGAAACCCATATTCAGGAGGGCCTGAGTCTGTCCCATGCTGCATTCCCAGCTATCAGACTGGGGGCCTGTTAGCTCCTCCTTGTTCAGATCAGCTGTCTCTATGTATTTCTGCAACCTGGTCTTGCCCTCTCAGTCTGCATCTGGGTTCTAGTTGGACTGAGTGTTTAGGTATGGGTGTTTGCTTCTGTTTCCAACAGGTATTAGATGAGGGCTCCATGGATAAGTTAGTTGTGGATCTCAATATCAGGGAAGGGCATTTATGGCAGCCTTTCCATGGTTGCTCAAATTGTTAGTTGGAGTCAGTCTTGAAGGTTTCTAGACCTTTCTTTAGGTTCAATTTTATCTTCAAACCAATAATGGTTCCCTCTTTTATGTTCTCTCTCTCTCTCTCTCTCTCTCTCTCTCTCTCTCTCTCTCTCTCTCTCTCTCTTTACTGTCTTCTATTCCTACCCTGACTCAATCTTCCTAGTCTCACATGCTTTCCTCTCCTACCCTTCTCTTCCTCCTAGCTCCCTCTCCACTCACTGCCCCCCACTTCCCCACGTGCTCTGGGGGACTTGTCCCTTCCCCCTTTTGTGGGGGACCTTATATGACTCTCTTAGAATACACGTTGTATCCTAGTTCCTTTGCTGGCGTGAATTATAGGCTGGTGATTCTTTGCTCTAGGTCTAAAATCCATATGACCGAGTAAATACCATAGTGTAAGAAGTACATACTCGTTACACCATAGTCCTCTTTTTGTTGTCTGAATAAAGTAAGGCTACTGATTTTTTTGAGTTTATCTTGTATTCTGCTAGTTTGCTGAAGGTGTTTATCAGCTGTAGGAGTTCCCTGGTAGAGTTTATTGGGTCGCTTATGTAAACTATCATATCATCTGCAAATAGAGACAGTTTGACTTCTTCCTTTCCTATTTGGATCCCCTTGATCTCCTTTTGTTGTTGTATAGCTTTAGATAGAACTTCTAGTACGATATTGAAGAGATATGGAGAGAGAGGGCAGCCTTGTCTTGTTCCTGATTTTAAAGGAATCGCCTTAATCTTCTCTCCATTCAGTTTGATGTTAGTTGTAGGTTTACTGTATATTGCTCTTATTATGTTTAGGTATGTTCCTGTTATCCCTGATTTCTCCAAGACCTTTTTCATGAAAAGGTGTTGAATTTTGTCGAAGGCTTTTTCCGCATCTAGGGAGATAATCATATGGTTTTTCTTTTTCAGTTTGTTTATATGGTGGATCACATTGATAGATTTTCGTATGTTAAACCATCCCTGCATTCCAGGGATGAAGCCTACTTGGTCATGGTGGATGATTTCTCCGATGTATTCTTGGATTCGGTTTGGCAGTATTTTATTGAGTAGTTTTGCATTGATGTTCATCAGGGATATCGTTCTGTAGTTCTCTCTCTGCTTTTTCGTTAATTTGAATAAAGGTTTGTCTATCTTGTTGATTTTCTCAAAAAACCAACTCTTCGTTGCATTGATTTTTTTGTATGGTTTTCCTGGTTTCTATTTTATTGATTTCAGCACTCAAATTGATTATTTCCTGGAGTCTACTCCTCTGGGGTGAGTTTGCTTCTTTTTGTTCTAAGGCTTTCAGTTGTGCTGTTAATTCTCTAATGTGACTATCCTCTGTTTTCTTCATATGCACACTTAGTGCAATGAACTTCCCTCACAACACTGCTTTCAAGGTGTCCCATAAGTTCGGGTATGTTGTGTCCTCATTCTGGTTGAATATTAGAAAGTCCTTAATTTCTTTCTTTATTTCTTCTTTGACCTAGGTGTGGTGCAATTGCACATTGTTCAGTTTCCATGAGTTTGTAGGGTTTCTGGGATTTGTGTGGTTGTTGAATTCCAATATTAAAGCATGGTGGTCTGATAAGATACAGGGGACTATTCCCATTCTTTTGTATCTGTTGGGTTGTTAGGTCACCTAGTATGTGGTTGATTTTAGAGAAGGTTCCATGTGGAGCAGAGAAGTATATTCTTTTGTGTTAGGATAGAATGTTCTGTAGATGTCTGTTAAACCCAGTTGAGAAACAACTTCTGTTAGTTCTTTTGTTTCTTTTTTGAGTTTCTGATTGGTGGTCCTGTTTAGTGGTTAGAGTGATGTGTTGAAGTCTCCCACTATAACTGTGTGAGGTTTTATGTGAAGTTTGAGTTTTAGTAGCGCTTCTTTTATGAATGTGGGTGCCTTTGTATTTGTGGCATAGATGTTCAGAATTGAGACTTTGTGTTGATGGTTTTCTCCTTGGACGAATAAGAAATGTCCCTCTTCATGTCTTTTGATTAATTTTGGTTTTCTAAGAAGTATTGTATCTCTTAAGTGGCAAGTACAAACCAAGTTGCAACAGGGAAACTGTTTTAGGTTTTCTGTATAAACATTGTTTCTTAAATATAACAAAATGAGGCAATCCAAAACTTAAGTAGATTTTAGTGATGTTTTCCTCATCCTTAATACATAATTATGTTGATACATATTATATAGTATTGCTATTATCATTATTACTTGAAACAGAGTCTCATATATAGCTATGGCTGTCCTGGAACTGACTACATAGACCATATTTCACTCAAACTCACAGAGATTTTCATTCTTTTGCCTCCTAAGTGCTGAGGTTAAAGGTGTGTGCCACTATGACTATCTTATATTATTTTCCTTCAAAGGGCCCCCAAATAATTTGCTGCAACCTCATAAGTCCAGTACTTTCTCCTGTACTCAAGGTACATTCATCTGCATATTTTAAACATAGCTGAAAGGTGTTCCTGGAATGTCTGTGTTAACATTCTTTTTTTGTAACATGCTAAGTACGCTTCAGACATGGGACTGCAGTTCACATGTTCCTTTAACCTCCTCACACAGTAAGTTCTCCAATGACAAATGAGGATAGCAATTACTTTTACTTTTGTGTCTCTTATACCTCATACATTGCTTAGTACACCATCATTCACAACAGCAACCATGAACCTAGCCAATTTTTTTTCAGTAATTTATAGAAACAAACATGCCTTTATTTTTGTTAGGATATTGTTCCAAGACAAGCTGTCGTGTAATAAATTAATCAGGAGACAGATTATAACTCTGTGGTACTGCATCTGTTCATGAATTCTAACTTCAGGTTACAATGTAGTTAATTTAGGGACAGTTCAGACTACGTCAATTATATGCATATATAGACAATTTTGCATCGTAATGTCACCTAATATTCATGAAGCTGAAACTCACTACAGTTAACAAACTTGCCTCAGGCTAGGAGTGATGGGGGCAGAGAAAGCCGGTTCTGTGTGGTTTCAGAACTTTTCTATCCAACTAGATATAGTAAGATGCTTAAAGGCATCGAGAGAGAAAATAGAAGTAATTCTTGTTTAGTTTTATTATATTGTAAAGAATCATATTTTAACTTAGTTCACTAGACAGCATTTCCTAAGATTAGAATTTTGAACAAATAAGAGTAAGCTATACAATAAATGAAGGACACAAATAAATTTACAACACTTGAAGAATTCAAGTAAATCAAAATGAGAGACTGGCCTATCCCCTTTCAAAAACATTCTACTAACAGTTTTTACCAAATATTTCACAGATTTTGAAGAGTAAATCTTTTCTATGTTTGTTTCTTGAAGTATTTCTTATCCTTTTTATTTTAATCATAAAACAAACCTTTTTGGTGAGTTTGTTAAAGTTCACATGGTCAGTGGCTTTGTACATATAGACATGCATCATTCCCTAAAACCACTAGAAATGTTAAACATGTCTGTATGCATGTCTGTTGTGAATGAGACTCCTTCAATGGCATAGCACAAAGACTTGGTAGTTTTGTATAGGTTAACTTCTTTATATGTTATGAAAGAGTGTTTTTTGTAAAGTAATGTATCTAATGTATTTGTGTAGATGGTTTTTAGGCTTTCTGTGGTTAAAACCTGAGGTCTACAGTTTCCTCAAAAATCTTTTCCTTTTGACTTGCATGTCAGTGACTGATAACACCTTTAGATTTTTGCTTCCTCTTCTCCTTCTCCTCCTCCTTCTTCTTTCTTCTTCCTCTTCTTCTGATTATCCTCAACTCAATATGTTTTTCAAATTAAAAGCAAACACCCAAAAAACCAACTAACTCAAGTGCTACACACACACACACACACACACACACACACACACACACACACACACAAAATGATGTCCGTGCTCTAATACCTAATTGGTGTCCAAATGAAGCAGATACACAGTCTTACTGCATGCTGCCTCCCAAGGGGAATTGCTAATATACTAACTTCTCACCCTGCTAGGAATGATGCATCTGGGGCTTGTGTAACTGCAAGGTAAGCCATCTCCTCTTTCCTTCCTTCCTCAGTCTTGTGACCACCATCCACCATGCCCCCCACATATTCACAACTGCTTTGCAAATACACTACCTACCTACCCCAAGTTCTTGCTCAAGCTCTTAGTGTCTCCCACACTGCAAGATTGTCTTCCTAACGTCCAACACCTGTCTGCTCCAAACTCTGCACTGTTATTCCTTAGATTCAGTAGAATTCTATCTAGCCAGCTCTCTCCCTACTACATTCTGTTACACTAATCTGCAGCCCTCTCCCTGATGGCTCTTCTTCCCTCTTGCCAGTAACTCTTGATTACTACCATTTGTGGATCTCATTATCTGATTCCAATCCACTAGGAGGTCTTAGTCAACATCCCACTTAAATATTTCCATTTTTCCAGGAGTCCCTCTGTATCTGAGCAACGAAAAGAAAATATCCATACCTCTAAGTTAGGAGGCCATGCAATTTTTGTAAAGTTTTACTGTGACACAGATATCTTCACCCTTGTGTATATTCTCTATGCCTATTATAGTGCTACAATGGCAGCTCAATGGCTGCACCTGAAATAAAGTGGCACAGAAATCCTAAAACATTTACTGTGTGTCCCCTCACAGAAAAACTTGTGGTGAGTCTTGCTTAATTCATGAAATGGCAATGTCCAACATTTTTAAGTGAGTTGTGTAAGTCATAAATCACGTACTAGATGATTTAAGGTCATACCTCAAGAGTCTTTCACAATAGGTTTATGGAATTTGTTATCTTGGTACCCAATTTAAAAATGTGACAGCCATATTCCAAACATTACCTCTTAACCCTGTACCTCTGTGTCAATCTCTCGGGGGAATAATTGTTTATTACCGAGTTCTAAGGAATGAGCTTAGAGGGAGATTTGTTATTGGTTCCAAGGAAAGTATCAAGGACTTAGAGGTGTCTAAGAAGTAAATCACTTATCACTTGTTCTTCTTGGCTGTCTTATCCATGTCAGTACATAACAAAATAACATGGAAGGCACATGCTTCATCTCCTATTTTACATTACTCTAAACACCTAGAGAGGATGTTTTGTATAGCAACTACTCCCAAATTGATGTGTGCTGAACAGAAAAGAGAGAGAGAGAGAGAGAAGAAAGGAAGAGCAAACCATAAAATAATACTTAAATGAGGCCTACAGTTAAGTGCTTGTCTATAAGCACCTGAAAGACTTGACTCCATAGAAAGCACTTACCTTAACATGATCAATGCGGGTACTTAGTTCTTTGGATGCAAACCCTCCAAAGATGAGGCTGTGGATGGCTCCTATCCTTGCACATGCCAGCATGGTATATATTGCTTGTGGGATCATGGGCATATAAATGACCACAGTGTCACCTTTCTTGACTCCATGCTTGACCAAGACACCAGCCAGCTTAGAGACCTGTTGGGAAAATCATCAGTACTTTATTATTTCACTAAATTTGAGGTTGATATAGTAAATTTAGAAGGCGGCCATCTACATTGTGGCAAATTAAAGAAGCATGGAGAATGTACTTAATAATGAAGATAATGGTTTAGATATGATGACGATAATGTTCCTTCACTTAAAATGATTGCATATAAATACCTACCACTATTGTGTCAGATAAACTCCATGGCTTGCATTTACTTGATTATTCATCATACAACATATTTACTAAGCAATATATCATGTCTGACTTGATAATTATAATTAATGACACGTATTGAAAAAAAGAAAACTAGCCAGGTGTTGGTGGCACACACTTTTAATCCCAACAGAGACAGGCAGATCTCTGTGAGTTCAAGGCCAGCCTGATCGACAGAGCTAGTTCCAGGTCTGGCTCCAAAGCAATACAGAGAAACCCATTTCAAAAAACCAAAACCAAAAAACAAACAAAACAAAAACCAAAAAAAAAAAAAAAAAAAAAAAAAAAGAAAAAGGAAAGAAAATTAGATTTTTCCTTATGGAAAAATTAAACAGTCTTCTAAGCAAAGGGAAAATAAAACAGCTATTAATTTACATATATGATGGATTAGCTGTAAAAATAAATACATTGAGAAAGAAACATAGTAATTGAGGCTCAGTGGCTACAAACAGTTAGCCAGACAGCACACAACAGTTAGACATCATACAAATAGTAAATGAAATAGCAAGGAAACTATGAGGTTTACTGACCTCATGTTCTTTGCTCTTTTTAATACCTCAAGCCAAACTTTTCTTTGTACTTTTTATACTAAATATTTATACAAAAACAGAGTAGTATCCTTTTGGAGAAAGTTCACAATCCTCTTTTCAATTTTATCATGCATTTTGAGGCCAAATATAAAAATGACTTTCCTCCTAACACATTTTTGCAATTATGAGTAAAAATGTAGCAAAACAGATCATGAGCACACACATAATGTAATTTGCTAAAAGAAACCCTGCGACACCCAATTACAGCAGGCTGTGTGCCCAGACTTCACTATAAGTTCAACACTCTATCAATTAAAACTGCTCTTTCACTTAAAAATATTATTTCTACCAAAATAAGGGCAGTATCTGGCCTCCTCTCTCTCTCTCTCTCTCTCTCTCTCTCTCTCTCTCTCTCTCTCTCTCTCCCTCTCTCTCTCTCTCTCTCTCTCTTTGTGATTAATCGGATCTATAAATAAAATAAGACAAATAAAGACTACAGAAATCTCTACTCTCTTAGTATTTCATTTTATCAGAAGGAATATCTGTCATTAAAGGTAAGTACATGTATTTATTCAAAGATTATCTATCAACCCTATGAAAGAAGTAGGTGTAACTGCCAATGATTGTCAGGAGAGACATCCCTAAGGAAGTCACATTTCAGCAAAGACCTGTAGACAGTCAAGAATAAGTAAATATATATGAATATGTTACTTAGAGACAGAGAGAGACAGAGATGTTCATTGTCAAGGCACCTGTAGGGCCCAGTGGGCAACCAACCACAAGGATTATGGCTGGCCTTTTGAAAACGATTGTTCGAGAAAATGAGCAGAGGAGGCACGAGGAAAGGAGCTGACCACATAGCTGTTAGTGGTGCTCTTCCCTTCTTCCCAACTCTCTTTTCTGATGAGTTCACACAATTCTAAATCCTGTCCATTTTTCTTTAAGGTTAAGGTCTCTGGTAAAAGAAATGGGGGAAAATTAGTGTTTTATCTTACCACGTACTACAAACCATATAATGGAGTACTACCCAGAAGAAAGTTATAGGAAAAATACACAAAGGAGATATAACTATATCACATACTTAAATTCCATATAAATCTCAGAAATGGAAATAAACACTAGGGAGTTATATAGCCAAACATTGCAGCCTGCAATCACTACAGAAATCACTATGCCAGGACATTGCATTGCCCAATAAACAATTTAATGTAGAATTCTGAAAAAAAATGCCTGTTTATAACTTTAACATTAACATTTTGAATACTGTCTACAATATTATTCAATGTTAATCTAGGAATGATTCTATGGATTGTATATTTTAGTGTCACTCACAAAAAGCTGGAAGAGGCCTAAAACGTTTCTGTTCACTGAGAGCAATGAAATCGTGAGTCTCGATGCCTTTTTTTAAAAAACTAAGATCTCATAGAGATAAGTCATTGGCCAAACATGTCATCAAAATGAGTTTAATTTGGGATTATATCAGATAATAACAAGCAGGTAACATTAAATTTGTTAGGCTTCATAAATGCTTTTGCTTGAGTATGAGCTGGCATGCCCTTTAAGGAAATTTGGACCCTATTTGTGATATGAAGCAGCCAAAGTTTATTTCTTTTATTTGTATTTAGTTTTTAAATTTCTTTCCCTTCCCGCCAACTGTTTCCACTTCTTTTGTTCCCCCTGACCTACCCAACTTCATGCCTCTCTCTCTCTCTTTTTTCCTAGCTAGCCATCTTTATTTATACAGTTAAGTGGCTTGTATGAACAGCTTTTTTTTAATATAATTTTTTATTTAAATTTGAAACAAGCTTGTTTTACATATCTGTCCTAGTTCCCACACCCTCCTGTCCTCCCCATTCCCCCCACCAACCCCCATCCCATCCCCCTTCTGCTCCCCAGAAAGAGTGAGGCCTTCCATGGGGAGTCTTCAAAGTCTGCCATATCATTTGGAGCAGGGCCCAGGCCCTCCCCCATGTGTCTAGGCTGAGAGAGTATTCCTCTATGTGGAATGGGCTCCCAAAGTCCATTAGTACACTAGGTCTTTCTCTGTATTAAAAACCAAACCAAAACAAGCACACAAAATCATAGAGTGTATATAGTTTGTGTTGGACAACAACTCCTGAGATTAGGCCTACCCTGGAGTGTGTTGATATACTCCATCAGAAAGAACAAAACAAAATAAAACACAACAGACTTTTCCTTTCCTAGCAACCAGGACTTAAAATAGCTTCTTGGGTATGGATGTGACATGTTTTCAATGTTGGAAATTTGTTTGACTTGAGCTGGTATGTCTCCTTCATGCTGCCACAGTTTCTGTGAGTCTTGTGTGTATCGGCTTGTGTGAACAGCATTGGTAAATGCTGTTCTTAGAGTCTTAAACCGCTTCTGCCTCCTCTTCCAAGTAAATCTCTGAGCCTTAAGGCTTTGGGTGTAATAAAGACATCTTATCTCATTTAGCAGTGAGTGCTCCAAAGTCTCCTACTCTCAGCTGGGTGTTGGTGACGCACACCTTTAATCCCAGCACTCGGGAGGCAGAGGCAGGTGGATCTCTGTGAGTTTGAGACCAGCCTGATCTACAAGAGCTAGTTCCCAGACAGGCTCCGAAGCCACAGAGAAACCCTGTCTCAAAAAAAAAAAAAAAAGTCTCTCACTGTCTGCACATTGTCCATGTGTGGGTTTCTATGTAAATTATCATCTACCGCAAGAAACTTCTCTGGTGTAGGTTGAGTGAGACATTTATCTATAGGTACAGCATCTCTCTCTCTCTCTCTCTATATATATATATATATATGTGTGTGTGTGTGTGTGTGTGTGTGTGTGTATTATATGTAATAGATATTGGGCTTTATATATTAGGCTTTATCCAGGACACATGACATATCCAGTCCCAGGTTCTTGTCCCCTTTAGTAGTTACAGGTTTGGGTTTCATCTCATGGAGCTGTTCTTATATCCAGTAAAAACTGTTTGGTTACTCCCATAACATTTTGCCACTTTGTACCACTGGGTATGTCCTATAGGCAGCTTAGTACTGTAGCATCTATAGTATCTTTTCTGATAGCTTGTATATTGCCTTTGAACAACATAAATGTAGGGGAGGAGCTCATTTTTGAACACCAGCTACATTTCTCCATATTTGATGAAGAAAGTACGTGGTATATTCAGCAGCAGGGTGTTGCCATCAGGTTGGGGATAGTACCCAACAGCATAAGCAACAGCCTGCAGTTTGAAGAGATTCTTATGGCTAGCTACATGTGAAAGGGTGATTTATCACCCTGCATAGAACTCTACTCCAAATAGATCAAGGATCCCAAAGTAAGATCAGATACAGTAAGATCTGAATAATACAGATGAGAAAGTGAAGAATAGAACTGAATACATTGACACAGGAAAAGACGTTTTGAACATGAGCCTAAAGATGTAGGTATTGATACCAACAATTAATAAATGGGACTTCATGAAGATGAAGCTGGAAAAGTTTATGAAGAGCAAAGGACATCATCATTCAAGCAGAGGCAGCCTAAGGAATGGGGATGGATAGCACTTCAGACAGAGGGCGAATATCTAGACAATACGTAGAACTCAAAAAGTGAACATCAAGAAACCAATAACACAATTAAAAACTAGAATATAGAGCTACCGGAGAGTGTTCAAAAGATGAAACACAGATGCTAAGAAACTCTTAAACACATGTTTCCTAATACACTAGAGAAATGCAAATTAAAAGTGCTTTGAGAGTTCACCTTATCCTAGTCAGAATGGCCAAGATCATTACAACAAATGAAAAAAATAACACTTATGCACTGCTAGTGAGAATGCAAAATATTATTAAAATCAGTGAGAAGGGTCCTCATAAAGTTGAAAACTTATTTATCACAAGATCCAGCTATACCACTCTTGGACATATACCCAAATTTACTACTACAGAGACACTTATCCAAGTTCATCACTGTTCCACTCATAATAGCCAGAAAATGGAAATAGCTTAAATGTTCATCAACTGGCAAACGGGTCATGCAAATTTGGTAATTTACACAATAAAATGTTATTCAGCTGTTAAGAAAAATGAAATTTACAGGTAAATGGAGCTAGAAAATAATCATCACAAGTGAGGGACTTAGACATACACAGCATTTTTGCCTTATATGTAGGTGTTTTCTTTCGCGATATTTTTGTATTCTTCTCTCATACATTAAATCCTGAACGCAGTTTTCCCTCCTTCCACTCTCTCCACTCCTCTCTGCCATCT